GCATCTCTATTATTTAATGAAAAATTATTATAATTAATCTTTCTGGCAAAACAAATAACTGAATCAATAAAGTTCCGTGGATCATCCGTCCATTCGATCGGTCGCGTGCTCATGGACGTAAACTGGATCATTTCTAGGTGCCGTCTAGGCGACTCAGCTGGTGTTGGTACCCAGTTAATCCCCTTACTCTGGATGCAGGCTCTTGCACTAGGCCATACGCTAGCTTTTCTATCATGTCATCCCGTTCCAGTGTTCTGGGTAATAAAATCTGTTTATATAGTCTGAAAATTTATCACACCAGCAAGCTTACATTAAGTTTCCGCACGCAGAAATCCTGCAGTATTTAAACAATTCCAGCGTGAAGTTAGAACTAATATTCCTTCCGCCATATGCAAATGATCTGACTGTTAGCGTCCCACATATAGTTCAGACCAATAAGCGCATGGCGATTACTATGCCACGACGGTAGTGATGAGGCCGGCATGTAAACAAAGATGTCTGCGCCCGGTAAGCGGCGGCATGGATCGGATGATAAAGATGAAAATCCTGCTTGCTGCATGCACCTAGTAGATAATTGTATCGAAAATATCTGTGTTATAACTAGAGCTAGATGGGACACCTCAGAAAAATAGCAAGAGTGGATATCGCTGAAAGGGAGAGAGTGCAATGCAGTGTTGTCAATTGCACACACCTTGATAGGGAGTACAATGAACTGGAAACACTGCCCTACTATCGTCCCTCGGCAAATGTTCTACGCCAAAAAAAGACAGCAACAAACACAACAATCAGCTGGCAACAGTGAGTGCATTCACATTATTGTTGAGATCTTGTGTAGCCTCCATAAAGCTGACTATAGGTCATCAATCATAAATTTTTTGTGCCTTCATCATGATCATGAACCATATTACGTACCTAGTGCATGTGTATTTTTCAATTGGCCTACAAAGGCGGCAGGCAAGACATGTATGTATATGTTGTGGGATTTTTTGAGTCAAAATCTTAGCCTGCCACATAAAGATTGTCCTTCTGATCATGCTGATACTGATCATTATTGACCCAAATATATAAAGTGAAAAAGTGTAGGATAACAAATAAGACTACACTACAGTGAATGCTGTTGTTTTGCCTTTGAATTTGTAATGAAAAAGTGCATGGATCTTAATGGCAAACTGTTTATTTTGTTCTATAGTACAGCTTCAGTTAGTAATTTAACCTTTGAGAATGATGGCTGAAAGCAATTCATTATTCCATCTTCAATTAAATCTTTACTGGGTATTTCTGTTTCATTTCCAGGATAGTGCTGGTCCTTCTCCAAAGAGATTGCGTTCAAAAGTTGACATACATGGTTCTTCGGCAATTCTACCTGAAATCTGTTAGATTTGCAAGAGGAAGGACCATTTCATTACACGCCAGAGGAAAAGAGTGAAGGACAAGTTAGCTAAAGCAAAAACAGCAAATTGTGGTAGGTTTATATCTTTTACTTGGTGTGCCATTCATCGTCGTGCTCTGCAGTCAGTGATATCTGCACTCTCACCAGGTGGCTATGGTGGGAACATCCATGAAAAACAGCTTTATATCAACTGGATGACCAATGATCCTGGTCTTAAAGAGGCGCTGAAACTTATAAGCTGTAAATGCAAAACAGGACAATGTGATACTAAATGATGTTCATGTAAATCTTCTAACCTTAAATGTATGTAATGAGTTGTGTGGGTGCAAGAAACTGTCAAAATGTTACCGGAGAAGAGGACATTCTGTCTAGTGATGATAGCAATGATGATGATGATTATTGTACAATCTAGTCTGAAGATAATGACATTTGACACCGACCAATAGACATTGTAACCATCATTGACATTCATAATGATGCCTTATTAGACATTGCAGAATTTGTAAATATTTTCTTAACATTAATATTTAGTGCAGTGAGCATGGTGAGGCTTGTGAAAACCACTTTTCTCAGTATACAATGTCGGCGAATGAGCAAGGCAGTTATTGTTGGATCTTCTGTATTGATAAACCTGCTTGTAATTTTGTTTTATAATGCTGTACATAATTTGGATGATAACTATAGAGTATATGCAACATTTGTTTTTCAATTTTGTTCATAATCTAAACCTGACATGTTATCAATATGACAAATTAGATCCCGCTGTGTACTTGTTTAAATAGCACTGTGCTGGAAACAATGCTGCTTTAGATTTTTAAATAAAGATTTTTTCACAACAATTGCTCATATCCTCATAATCTTTCATATTGGACATGTGTGGGAATGTTTGTATCGATTGTGAAAATTGAAGCGTTTAGCTTTATTGAGATAATTGAAGTTAAAGATGTTATTATTGGAGGCCAAAAATTTCAGGAATTTTCCAAATAAGTTGAACCACTGCTCCAATCTGGCCGATATTGTAGGGATTGAATATTTGTAGGACCCTCCATAGATCTACCAAGTTTGAAGTGTGTGGCTGTTGGGTTTTTAATCCAGAAAAATGTGAGTTTAAAAGATTAAAAGGAAAATGATCAACACAGAGACCGGGTTTTGTGACGTCAGTGTGTGCCGGGTGGAGAGAAGAATGCTGGCTTGGAAAGCCATCACCTTCTCCCACAGATCCCTTCATGGCAAAGCCTTTTATTAACAGTTTACAACATCAAACAGGCGGGCCTAAAACAGAAGAGCCAGTAATCATTGTCTGCGAGGATGCAGGTAACAAGATAGTGTGAATTGACCAACTGGCTGGATGGAAGTCACACATCCGTGTGATTCTGCCTCATGACCTACAGGAGGTCATAAAAGTTTATGACCCTTCTGGTTGAAACACAGAATAGTTATCACTCTAACATTTCCCTCCTCTTATACATAAAAACATCAGCATCTTTCAATTCATATTTTATTCATAGGAGTAGGAATATGAGTACAAACATAACAGTCTGTTTTGTTCAAATCTTCAGCAACATGTTTTGCATGTTGCCACCACATCTTGGCACTGTAGGATGACTTGCTGTGGATCCATCAAAAATCATCCTGCTCTTCCTTTGTTTCAGACAGTCAATTTGAGTTCCTAGGAACACCGGTCCAACAGTCATCACCGGGCAGCAAAACCACTTTGGTTTTTCAGATCTTTGCCAGTCCGTCCAAGGAAACACCCACTAACCGGACTCTAAAAGACTGGGTTAGGTTGTTCACTTCACCAGCGTTGAGACGAGTGGTCCTAAAAAAACCAAACCCCTTTGAAGCTGGACTTCACCACAGATCTATACCTTAGTCGTGGGGTCCCTGTGAAAGTAACTGGGCTTTTTTGCTGTGGAAAGTTTTTAATCAGTTTACAATGACTCTGGTGGATCCAAGTGTCTCTCTCCTGGATTTTCACGGCAGTGGGGGTTGTTAGTTGCACTTTGTAGGGTCCTTCCCACCTCGGAGCTTTCCAAGTTTTCCTTTTGATGATTTTAATCAGCACTCGGTCTCCAGGCTTCAGGCCTTCCTGTGGGGAAACAAAAGGAGCACTAGGCAGATTACATGTTTTCCGAACAGTTTTGTCGCTGAAAAGCTTCAGCATCCACTTAGTTAGCGGGTCAATGTTATCTTGTTCGTTTTCTGCACATGGCTTTCCTGTTTCTGCCATGAATTTTCTCAATCTATTTTTAACATCCTCGAACCATTTAACTGGGTTCTGTCTGGCTGGAGGTAAACCTCGACAGGCAGTCCGCATCTCTGCATCTGTCCATGGCCCACACACAAGAACAGTGGTTCCACAATCCAGTGGGTCACCATCTTGGGGTCCCGTGCGTTGACCACAATGAGGGTTGGCCACCTCCAACACCGGAAAAGCACATGCTCCCTCCCCAGGATCTTGGTCCTGTTCTTGTTTTTTTAATTCAGCCAATCTTGGATGAATAGGGGCAGATGGGCCCCTTCCACAAGCCTCCACTTGATAATGATCCCTGTAACACTTCGAATCAAGCTTCACATCCCCCCCTGATCCTCCCAACTCATGCTCACAAGAGTCAGGGGCACTGAGTTCCATACCATCCACAGAGGACGACACGGACAGGGGGCCTGCTCCTGCTCCTCCAATATAATTATACGATGGTGGGGCTACTGGAGGAGGAACAGTGGCATGGCTGTGTTCATATTCACCGTGATGGAGTTTATCTCCACCTTCCTGCGCAGCTGATGCCACTGCTTGAACCCCATCACCCCCTTGAATTTGATTAGGGTCACGATATTGAGGAAGCATATGGGATACAACAGTTTCTTCATCAGCTTTAACTTTTACAGCAGCAATTGTAGCTGTCTTTCTATCCTTCTTCTGTTGTATTTGGCTTTCCCTATTTTTTGCTTGCATAATCCACCTTTTTAACTCTTCTAATTCTTTTCTGTATTTAGCTTGTTTTCTTTTTGATTTATACACCAACTTCATCTCCACCTTCTGCTGAATCTTTGTCAGCGGCTCAGCTCTCAACTTTCCATCCCAGCCCTCCTTCTCAATCCACTTTCTGGCAAACTCTGGGTCACCACCACAACACGCCACCATCCATCTAACATCATCTGGCATTTCCTTCTTACTACTACCTTGTCCCATTTTTAAAGAATTTAGTCCAGTACACAGCGGTTCGATTGTTTCCTCACACACTTTCACACAGTCACACACACCTAAGGCCTAATATTTTTTATTTTTTAACCAACATAGAGTCCCAGACTCGAATGCACAGAATACCGATCCCAGATCTATCACAACAAACCCTGTTTGTCAAATATTCTAGCGACTACAACTAGTTATAGCTTTCACACAGAGGGTCCCAGACCCAAACGCATAGAATACCGATCCCAGATCTATCACAACAAACCCTGTTTGTCAAATATTCTAGCGACTACAACTAGTTATAGCTTTCACACAGAGGGTCCCTGACCCAAAACGCATAGAATACCGATCCCAGATCTCCCACAACAAACCCTGTTTGTCAAATATTCTAGCGACTACAACTAGTTATAGCTTTCACACAGAGGGTCCCAGACCCAAACGCATAGAATACCGATCCCAGATCTCCCACAACAAACCCTGTTTGTCAAATATTCTAGCGACTACAACTAGTTATAGCTTTCACATGGTCCCAGACCAGCTTTTAATAAAAAACCTTAGGCGTACCGTTTCTGTGCAGATCAGTCCTCAGCTTGAGTCGTCACCAGGATGTCCAGGGCAGGGCTGGACCAACCTATTGGCTCCGTCCGGCAAAGGGTGGACGGCTGTTGACAGTTTCTTGGCCTTGGTCTCGCACAGTCCTGGACAATTGGATCTTGACTCCCGGGTTTTCAGCACCAAAAATGTTGGGTTTTTAATCCAGAGAAATGTGAGTTTAAAAGATTAAAAGGAAAATGATCAACATAGAGACAGGATTTTGTGACGTCAGTGTGTGCCGGGTGGAGAGAAGATCCTGGCTTGGAAAGCCATCACCTTCTCCCACAGATCCCTTCATGGCAAAGCCTTTTATTAACAGTTTACAACATCAAACAGGCGGGCCTAAAACAGAAGAGCCAGTAATCATTGTCTGGGAGGATGCAGGTAACAAGATAGTGTGAATTGACCAACTGGCTGGATGGAAGTCACACATCCGTGTGATTCTGCCTCATGACCTACAGGAGGTCATAAAAGTTTATGACCCTTCTGGTTGAAACACAGGATAGTTATCACTCTAACAGTGGCTTTATTACTTTTAGAGATAATTGGAGTCAAAGATGCTATTAGAGGCCAGAAATGCAAACATTTCAGGAATTTTCCAAATAAGTTTCCTCCAGAACCACTGCTCCAATCCGGCTGATATTTTAGGGATTGACTGACTTCTTCTGTGCAATTGTCCTTCTCACCAGTGAAATGTAATGAGGGGGGAGGTAGACAAGGTTGTGATCTAAACGACCCAGCGGGGGGAGGGGGGCGGAGGTGTATGCATCCTTAACATTTGCATAAAAAAGGTCCAGCGTTTTATTGTTCCTGGTTGCGCATGTGACGTATTGTGTGAGCGTAGGGAGAGTGGAGCGGAGGTTGAAATCTCCTGTGATGAGCAGGAGAGCGCGGGGATGTTCGGTGTAGAGGCAAGGATTCATTTTGGTAATGTCTCTAAGGGTAGGCTGCATGTGTTAAAGGCCCCGTCCACACGAAGTCAAAACGAAACGCTGATATTTTCCAAAACGTTTGCCGTAAAGACGGAGACGTAAAATAAATGTGAGCGTCCACACGAATGCATGAAAACGCTGCAAAATGTATGCCAGGCCTGTAAGTGGCGCTGTGGTGCCAAAGCAAAAATAAGCGACGAAATGTTGGGCATGTGCACTAATATTTATACATGGTTGCCCTGCGGGTCCATTTTCGTGGTTAAGTCAAATTCAGGTGCTGAACTATGTCGTCGATATTGCTCTGTTCTTCCTGGAGATATTCCAGAAGAAGATTCTGTTGTAAGCCCGACAGCAGGGTGAGTAGCATTAGCAGCAACGGCGCCATTGTTGTTGTGATACTGGTCGCGCATGCGTGTTTAGAGGCGACGCTATGACGCATGCGTGTAAAAAAAAATATGCGGTTAGAGCGTAAAGATGGAAACGCGAAAACGGCGTTTCGAAATCTTCCCACTCTGAAGGCTGAATAAAAAAAAGATCGTTTACAGACCCCCGAAACGCCGGCTTCGTGTGGATGAGAGGCTGGTTTGGTGAAAAATTTGTGCATTTAGGCCAGGGCTCGTCTTCGTGTGGACGGGGCCAAAGGTATGTATGGGCATGTGTGGGTGGAGCTATAAGTGGGTGTTGGCATGTGTCTGAGTGATTGTCTAATTAATATCACCTGGATCTGCTCTGAGGCTGTTTTGTTTGTTTGATTCAGAGAGAGGCTAAGAGTGGGTGCCAATATTTCTGTTGACCGCAAGTTTAAAGCAAATAAGTCTGCAAATCGACCTGTTGTACAATGCCTCACAGAAAAAGAGTACAATAAACATCCCTAACTGCAGAAAAGCTTTATGTTTCCTCCTTGGATTCAGCGTGTCGAACAGATCCCTGCTCTCCTCTCAGTGACTATTTTTTTGGATGATAGTCGCCTACATTGTCAACAGAAATGGCAAAAGATCCAACACTTTGATTGAACTGTGCACGTAAGACAATGGACCACTCAGCCATTTTGGATGCAAACTGTTAGTAAATGTGAATGAAAAGACGGAGCACAGCACAACCTGTGGTATGTTGGATTAAGTTTATTCATACAGTGAAGATCATATCTGTTTTGGACACAGTTGATGCTGGTTACCACTGCGTATTTGGATGCATAGATGCTGTGGCTGTTGGTTATATCATTCAGCTATATTACTCAAGACTGAATTAACTTGTGGAAACTGTGGATCACTCATTTGTGCATATCAAAGTAAAGTTGGATTTGGATGTTTGATGCTGTTACTGCTGATGCTTAAGCCTGAATCAAAGTGTGGACATGCAATATTGGATTGTTTATGTATGGATGCAGATTTATGCCAAAAAACGCAACCCTGTTTGACTTGTGGACTGAAACCTGCTTTCTGAAATTCTGTGTTGCATTATTTGTTGGGCATCAATATGAGTGGATCAAAGGCTGGTTCACAATTAAATGACACTCATTGCAATGAAGTTGTTAAAAGGAAAACTTTTCCTACTGAAAAGGCCTTGATATGGAAAATGGAAACACTGCAGAAAGAACGCAAAGCAAAAGTGAATAAAATAAAAGGCCTCATCACTGCTTTAAAGGAGCTCATTGAGAGGAATGATGATGTTTCTTAGGTGGAAACTGAGTTGGACAAGTTGATGCATTTGCATGAGGAGACAATTTCTCTGCATGAGTCACTGATGGAAATAATTCCTCAGGAAGAAAAGGACAAGCAAAAGGTGTGGTTTGAAAGTATCAATAAATATAACAAGGGATTTACTGAGGATGTAAAACAATGGATCTCTGAAACAAATGCACCATCCTTAAGACATGCAACAAAGGATTCTGTGGTTGGTAAACAAAACAAAGAATGTGAAGATCCACCATGTTTGTCACTACACAAGCCTCAGCTTGATGCTAAAGTGTCCTTAGACACAGGACAGGAAGGCTTTCCTGAAAGAATGGACATGCAACAGGATGAAATTCAACCAAATGACAGCATCTCAAATGTTGGAAGCAGAAGACATGGATCAAAAAGTGGAACCTCAAGAACTTCAACCTCTTCTGTTTCATCTTCTCACATCAAGGCAGAAGCTGAAATAGCTGCTCTTCTTACTAGACAGAAATTACTCAAACAAAAGCAAGAGCTGGACCACCAAGAAGAGGAAATCAAGAAAAAGAAAGAAAGATTTGCGCTTGAGATGGAAATAGCTGCTGCTCAAGCTAAGATGGAGGTTCTAAGAGTCTCAGGAAGCAGTGTGAAAGGCAGCAAAAGTATAAAATTAAGTGGCATAGAATCCTATGTGGCCAAAGGGGCTTGTGCTGCTCTTAATGTTGAAGCTAATTCATTTGTGCCTGGTGGCCAAGGAGGGTATGATGCTCATACCACACTCAAGCCTCATCTGACAAAGTCAAGTGGAAGAAAACTTATTCCTGATGTTGGATCTCAAATACCCCAGCAGAGTCAAACTGGACACCTGATGGGACCTAATGTGTCAAATAACATTTTAAATTCTCAGTTAAGTGTCACGTCACATACCCAGCTGCCGGTCAATGTTGATTGTAACAATTTGCTATCTATAATGGCAAGGCAAAATGAAATCTCTGCTTTACTCACACAACAACATAACATTTCTCATTTGCCAAAACGAGATATCCAGGTGTTTGATGGAGATCCAATTCACTATCATGCTTTTATGAGAGCCTTTGAGCACAATGTAGAAAGGCGAACAGAAGACAGTGAAGACTGTTTGCACTTTCTGGCTCAGTACACAAGGGGAGAACCACGAGAGCTTGTTCGAAGCTGTCAACAAATGCCTCCAGAAAGAGGATATCTGAAGGCAAAGGCATTGTTGGAACAACATTTTGGGAATGAACAAAAGATTGCATCTGCATATTTGGACAAAGCGTTCTCTTGGCCTGTGGTTAAAGCAGAGGATGTTAAATCTCTTCAAGCATATGGTCTCCTTTTAAGAGGATGCTGTAATGCAATGGATGGCATAGAGTACATGTCTGAGCTTAACATGCCTTCTAACATGCTGATGGTGATCAAGAAGTTGCCATACAAGCTAAGAGACAAATGGAGGTCAGTAGCTTGTGATATTCAAGAAACCAGTCAGCGAAGAGCTAATTTTTCTGACATTGTGAACTTCATTAAACGTCCGTTAAAGATTGTGACAGACCCTGTATTTGGCAACATACAGGACACTGTAAAGATCATGCAAAGAGATGGTAGCAAAGATAACTACCAATGTCGAACACGAAGACAAAAAAGTAGTTTTGCCACTACTGTAGCAGCGATTGATATAAAAGAGTCAAGTAAAAAAAGAGAAAGTCCAAACTGACAAAAAGACCTGCCTTTACTGCAAGAGTGAACATGCGTTGGAGTTGTGTTCTCTATTGGAAAAAAGAACACATAAAGAGAAAATCACTTTTCTCATAGAGCATGGGGTCTGCTTTGGCTGTCTGTGCATAGGGCACATAAGTAAAGGCTGCAAGAGGAGACTGACATGTAAAACATGTGGAGCTAAACACCCTAGCATGCTTCATATTCACTTAAAGAATAAGGATCAAGTTGAAGGTCATGAAGGTGTGCCAAAGCAAGACGCAGCTGTGGGTGGTTCTCTGGTGGCAGTGCAAAGTAGTGGTCTTACTGGGGCCGGTGACCAAGACTGCAAACTCTCCATAGTGCCAGTCAAGGTGAAATCTAAAAAGGGCCAAAAAATTGTGGAAACGTATGCCTTTTTGGACCAAGGCAGTTCTGGTTCATTCTGTACATCAAGTCTGATGAACAAGTTAAATGTTTCTGGAAGAGGAACTAAAATTCTTCTACGCACTATGGGCCAGGAAAAGCTTGTAGGAAGTTATATTGTATCTGGTCTGGAAGTTGCTGGCTTGGAAAGTGACCTCTATTGTGACTTGCCAGATGTTTTTACACAAAAGAAAATGCCTGTGTGCAGGAATAATATACCACTGGAGCGGGATCTGCTCAGGTGGCCATATCTGAGAGGGGTACATCTACCTGAAATTGAAGCAGATGTTGAGCTTTTGATTGGCTTAAATGCACCCAGAGCACTGGAACCAATAAAAGTGATTCCAAGTGAGAATGGAGGGCCATATGCTGTTCAGACATTTTTAGGATGGACTGTTAATGGACCAGTATTTGGGGAAGCTGACTGCAATCAACCCAGCATCACTGCTAACCGTATCTCTGTAGTGAAATTGGATGAATTGTGGAAACAACAGTTCCAGCTAGACTTCCCTGAGTGCAGCCATGAAGAACAACTGGGTCCATCAAGAGAAGATTGCCAGTTTATGGAAATGGTGAAAGGCACTGTTGAGCTGGTGGATGGTCACTACACAATTGGTTTGCCATTAAAGAACAG